GACAGATTGCAAAAGCCAGAAGGAGAGCTCAAAGATGGTTGGGAAGAAAAATGGGATGGATGCCAACTCACCCCCAGGAGGGCGTCGTGGGCCCCAGTGACGGTGAAGAAAGAGATGAAGCACAGCACTCCAGCTCTCATCTTCCCACGACCCAGGAGCAGCAGCCAGGGGCATAGTCTGCGACGAGACACGCAGCGGACCAGACAAGGCTGGGGCACAGAAATGGGCAGCTCAAGACAACACGAAAAAATACGCGCAGAGGTCGGGCCTGACCGAGCTGATTCAAACCCCTGATGGTGTGATTATTTTTCCACTTCAGGGAGCCTGAGACACCATTACTTTTGCTTCCCTCATAGAAGTAGTAAATTTCCATCTTTATAAACCTACTAGAAACTGCTCTAGAGCCCCCTTCCAGGTGATAAAATTTGATTAAACACAGAGTTTTTAAAACTCATGACTTGCTTGATATTGTAACTAGGGGATCCAACATCGTCTTTTGTGTTTCCTTTTCACCTCGGGAAAGACAAACGTTGATCTAACAAAGGAACCTTAGTTATAACCTTAGTAACATCAGGATAGATTCTGAGTGTTGACCATGAACATGACAATGAATCAGTCCAGTAAATTTCCTTCTTTATAGTTGAAGCAATCACTAACAAATTTCCCTTAGTTTATGGACAATTATTTTTCAAATAATTTGGATAAAATCGAGTTCATAGAAATGGTCATAAAATGAATCATTTATACCCAGGTGATTTGATGTCAAAGAAAAATCATAGTAAGTCAACATTGCTCTGTCCAATAGCCAGCTCCTCAGTCATACCAGGGACAGTACCCACACACGGCTAGTGGCTACCCCATTGCCAAACATTTAATTCCACAGCATTGATCAAGCCTAGAGGAATATCTTCCAGTGGCTTTTCAACCTTTCTTTTGCATCACAACAGAAAAAGATGAAAATGATGTTCTCCTAATTCATTGGGGTAACTATCCTATATTAACAGGGTAAAGAACACAGCCCTGGGCTCTCCTTCCAGCCCTTACCTTGCTTCCTGGGAGTGCTGTGAGCCTCAAACAAATGCTGCTGCCCACCAGCGCTGCCTCACATCCTGCCTGCTGATCTATAGAGAAGAGAGAGGGCATTAGAGACGGGGCAAGGGCGACCACAGCCATGGCCTGTTTCTGCTTCCAGGGAAGCATGAAAAATAGGCAATGTGATGCCTGTGACTTTTGAATTGGTCTTTTCCTCTTGGGTAGACACTGCTCTCGTGCCTCGTGTTCCTGTTGGCCACTGACTCCTCAATCTCCCACGTAAGCGTCTTTAGGCAGCAACCCAGGCTTCCGATCCTTCTTCAGGGTCTTGCTTCCCAGCACCTGTCTGCCCTGAGTCCTGTTCCCTCTGGCCTGCTGGGCTTTCTGCTTTCCACAAGTGATGGTTCTTTGTCTTTACAACAGTGTTTTGCAGTCCATTTTTGATAGGGTTTGATAGAAAGAAACGTATGTTATATAACATGAATACATGTACACATACATACATACAAATTTTATTACACGTGTACGTGTGTACGTATACACAGACACAGATAGATGCATGAAATGACTGAGCTGTTTTGTGAAGCAGAACTTAATTCTTGCCTGAGATGTGTCCTTGATATTTTCTACTTGGTTTTATGTCATTTCATTTTTATTAGCAAATTGTCATGTTCACCTAAACTGATTTTATGAAATCCTTATCAAGCACAGCCACGTTGCAGAGGGAGCTCGTGTTCTCGTCAGCCTCCCCTCTCTATTTTTTTTTCACTTCCAGGGAAGATTTTTAAAATGTGAATTCCTGGGAACTGTTAAGACTTCAGTATATGGTGCTGGAACTTTCAAATAGGATCACAGTCGTGGTGAGAGCAATCGGTGCTCTTGGTGAGAGCTCTCTGTGCCAGAGCCTGCTTCCACATGGGAGGCGTGGTCTTCACAGGGGACTCTCTGTCTCTGTCCGTCTGTCTCTCCCTCTCTCACACACACACACATATACATACATGCACATATACACCCTCTCTAACTCTGGAGAGTCTTCTCTCTCTTACATGTAGTCCAGGCCTGAGGCTGCAAACCCAGCTCAAGAAGGCCTATTGACAGCATTGGGCATTGTTCAGAAGCCCCTCTCACACTCTCAGCCCTTTACTTCCTCTTCCTCCTATGCTGGATGCGTCTTCCCAGCTGCCTCCTGGGACCTGCTAGAAATTGTCAGCTCTAACTTACAGTCAGGGTTTCAGACCAGTGATTGGGAACTGCAGGTCTGTAAGCTAATCCTGAGTAGACAGACTACAAAGAAAGGAGGACGGAGGAGGAAGAAGAGGGGAAAGGGGGAAGAGGAAAAAAAGAAAACATTTAGATCATTAGAAAATACACATGTCCCTATCTCACCCTAAACTTAGTAAATCTCAGACAAGTCTGGACTTGTCTAGTAAGGCTTAGACAAGTCAGGCTTAGCCATGTGTATTTTTAAAGCGCTACAAGCAGTGCCCACATTCAGGCAGGTTTGAGCACTGCTATTCTCGACTGTTTCTAGATAAGAAAAAAGAATTTTGCACCTAGCTTGGTTCTGCTTTGGGTTTTAAAACCACAGTTTGAACTAATCAAATGTTTTCTTTGATTCCTTGATGTGTATAGCTTTCTCTGGGATAAAGTTAAAAGATTTAGCAAATAAAAATACAAAAAACCCCAAAGAAATTTGAATTTCAAATAATCAATGAATAATTGTTTAGGATAAATACGTCTCATGCAATATTTGGGACATTATTTGCTGTCCAAAATTATTTGTTGTTTATCTGAGATTGAACTGGACATCCTATATTTGACAACTATTCAAAGATGGGGAAAAGGTATCTCAAGGAACAAAAGACAAAACAAATTACATAGCTGGACTGCCCAGGGTTCGAGTTCCAGATTTGAAATTTATTAATTGGATACCCTTTGGCCTTTTCTTAGCTTTCTGTATTTTAATTTACTCATGTAAAGGTGGGAAAAATGATATCTAAGTCATTGGTTTGCAGTAATTGGATGTGTTCTTACAAATAAGGTGCCTGCTATTTCAGTTCCCTCCACCAGTTTGTATAGTTACTTGTGGGATTATGTCAGAATTGGACTTCAGTTCCTAGTCAGGTTCACTTATCAAAAATGGGCTCCTTGGTTGATGACCACCACTGTATAAATGGCAGGATCTTAGCCTTAAGGAAATAAAAGTCTGCTTTTCCAGTAAGTGAATTATCTGACCCAAAGGAGGGTCCCGGCATTAAGAATGTCAGAAAATACTTTGTGTATGTGCAGGTTGGTCACAAATCCCACTGCGCTTTGCCTTTAGAAAATGTAAACTCTATGGTATTTTCATCACTTCCTTTCCAAGCCGGAACAGTCCTGCTTATTAGAAAAATTCTCAGAATCCTTGTGTCCCAGCCACAGACAAGGAGCTATTGTTGTCATTAGAGTACATCCTGTTGCATCACACCTTACAGCTGGCGGTCAGGGATGCCTGCCTCACGGCAGGGTTGGCACCTGCTTCCCTGGGAAGGGCTGGCAGTGGCGGGGCCCCGCCTCCTCACTTCCTTGAATTCATTCAAGTGAATTCACTTCTGATAATCCCTGCCCTTCGGTGTACAGGGAACAATCATTAGAACTTGCCATTATGCCTCTGGAGACCGCTGGCCATCCTCTCCCTGTTCTTTCAGTGTTATATTTATGAACTCCAGGCATCATTTATTTATGTCAACAGCTGTCTCCTTATCAACAGTGCTGCTTGGTTGCAACTACTCACACCTACGCTGTGCAGTGTTTTAGCAACAATCTAATCTTAGGCACAGCTGAACCCCAGGCTGCTGACGATAACCAATTCCATACTTGGAAGAATGTTTGGAGGCTTAGTAAATTTCATGAGCTAGACAAACATCTTCTGGGAGGACAGAAGTAAAAGTTACTTGAAATCTGAATGAATGTCTGTATATGTGTGTGCACAGTAAAATTTGAAATACCTGGTCTATGCTTTAACAGGTTTTTAGCAGACTTCTGTTTATAACCATAGTAGGCAGAGACCTGGCTGGATCAGGCTAAGCTCAGATTTGCCCCTTTTCTGTGAAGACTAATGAAAGTTAAAACTTTTTCAACTTGGTTTCCTCTCCTGCAGAGTAAGGGGGAAAATAAGGTGAGCTCAGATTACCCACATTTGGATTTTATTTTTAAATGCCCATTTCCCCCTTTTCTATTTATACATTATTATTTAATTGTTCTTTCCTTACCATCTGCCAGTCACCAAATCTGATCTGGAAAGAATAAACGTTTTTATTCATCTTTATTCTTTTCTTTATCCTTAAACTGGTGGTTAAATTCTTGAACATCTTTTGAGATGGGCTGAGAGGCTGCTAAGAATTTAGCCCTTAGATCAAGAACAGAGGTGTAATTTTTAAGAATTCTGGAATTATCAGCTCAAGTTGGGGGAGGTGAAACAGGGCAGGGAGTAAAAGGGACAGGTGTGCTCCCACTTCATGGGCACGTGGTACAGGTATATGGCATATCTTTGGGGTGCAGGACACAACTACAAGAGGGACTCTACCTAACAAAGGCAAATACTGTAACCTACTTGCTTATACCCTCACATTAACCCAAAATTTAAAGAAAAGGGGATTCTAGAATTATAAGTCTGAAAGGGACAAAAACATTACTTACCTTCATTACCTCTCCTCTGGGACATTTCACCAATCTGCTAACTTTGGTTTGTTCAACTGCTGCACAGAGTGTCTCAAAAGTCACCCATGATGTCCCCAGATGTAGTGAAAATGGGAAATTGTAGCTAAATGTACCTTATCAACCAAATACACATCACAAAATTATACAAAAATATTTACTACGTGCTGACCGCCTCTTCGTAAAATTTTGTGATGCGTGTTTTGTGAATAAAGGTACACTTAGCTACAATTTCCCATTTTTCTTATGTTTGGCTACTTCATGGGAGACATTTAGGATACACTGTATACTGAGGGCCTCCAGTTTCCCAGACAGTATACCAAGTACTGGCAGGTGACAGTATAGTCATACATTGTAGCTCCACACAGGGTGAGAAACTCCAAAAGCCAACAAACTGCTTTGCCAACAGCTG